TATTTTATTATTAAAAATTGACGGTCATTATGCTGTTAACCATTATGTAATATTGCATCAGAATAGAAGAAAACACAATTTTGGGTGCTGCTGCCATGATGACCATTATGGGAAAACCATGTTACTTATGATTGCCGAACTTTCAAAAAAGAAATACAGGACTAAAATGCAGTCTTGAGTTGGAAAAGCAGTCTAAGTGACTTCTTTTTCTGGAAGTTATACATTTTCAAAGTGTAAACTTGTCACATATTTTAATTACATTGGTATTACCTGTTGAGGATAATTAAAATTTGATGTTGAATTTGCAGTTTAACATAATGTACTTATGCATCAGAATTGACAGTAGCCTATTTTGTGCATAGTTATTTCCTGTTTTTTGTCTGTACATTTGACAGCTTTGCTGCCTTGTTAAAGATGATTTTAGGTGTTGAGAAGATAGTATCCCTGCTCAGTTACATAATGTATTATATAAGTAACTGTAGAGATTAAGTCAAGCATAGACTCTGACTCTCTCCAGGTGCCACAGCTATGTGATTACATCCAACACCTCAATTATTTCATCTGCTTCTGTGTAAGTTTTTAGGTGAGGGTAGACATGCAGGTAGTTACATGAGAAAATATTTCAGTGCAGTATCAGTGTGGGTTCAAATGAATACACTGTAAGTACTCAAGGTGCTTGCCTTTAGGAGAATAAAACTTGGCATTAAGTAAGCAAAATAAAATTCATCAATTTTCCCTATAATCACCAGGGTATAAGATCCATAAAGCTGTTTTGAGTTTGGAAAACTTGTCCCAAATTGTCAGCGTCCATGTCGAAGTACAGCCTACAGAGCATACAGTGTTTTTTTTTTTTTTTTAATTTAACCTGTAATCAATACTATAGAAACTAAAAAATATTTTATTTTATTATTAAGTTTATCTTTTTTGGTATATTTTTCATGTATCAATATTGTGGTGAACATTTATTTTACATGTGGGGATTTTTGAGCAATCAGCATGCAATAACATATTATTAGTAATTTGGCTTAAAAAATTCCACTTGGCTTAAAGATTTGTTCCAGAGTGTAATTTACATGTTTCAGTATATATTGTTTCAAAAAATTATTTCTAGTAAAAGTTTGGGGCTGGTTTCAGCATAGCATGCGAGTAGTCTTTGTTAATGCAGCTAATGAAAAAACCATGGGACTTATGATCCTCCATTCTGGCACACTGATTGATAGTGCTACAGGTCAAGTTCAAATGTCAGCTTTATCAGACTTCTTTTGCTGAAGTTATTAATTTTTTCCTTCCAGCCTACAAGTATTTATATATTTATTTATTATTATTATTATTTTTATTTTATTTATTTATTATTATTATTATTTTTTTTTTTTTGCAAGTTCAAAATTTCTCTTTTTTTCAGCATTAAATCATTCTCAATACAGTTAAATTAAATATAAAATTGAGTATATCATTATCCTCAACTTTACTGAATGAAGTGTTGAAGTAAAAGTCAGTCTGGAATTTATTCATATATAGTACAGTATTAAAATGTTTTAATAATTTTTTTTCATTTTATGCAGCATGCAATGTCCTCATTTTTCAATGTTTTACCTGATACTTCCTGATGACATATGTAAAAAATAGTTATCATTGATATTGGGTTTTAATTTTGGCAGTTTTCTTGCATAATTTTTATTAAAAATCTTGTTTCAGCAATGTCTCTCAACTTAAAGTTGAGGAACCTAGATGCATATGAAATTGTGAATGCTCACAAATGTGTTCTTCACTGCTTCTGTGGAATAATCATTAAATGTTACATTTGCTTTAGCTTTTTTCCAAAATTAAAAACTCTCTTATTTACTCTTTTTGTCTGCTTTAAGCATTATTATTACTTTCATGTGCACAATCCACCTGGTGGTACATACAGTACATGTACATGTACCAGAGGGTGGTATCACCTCTGTCAGTTGTTTTCCTTTTTTTTTAAACTTCACATAATTATTAAAGCTGTTGTCTACAAGTTTGTTTTTATCTTCATTATAGGTATGCTGTGGTATTTTGTTCCCGAGATGAAACCAGGAGATTTGACAACCGAAACCATAAGACAGAAGAACAGAGTGCCAGCAGCACTGAATGCAAACAACAAAGAAATGAAAGTTAGAAACAGTTGGACCCATAGTCTTGCCCAGTTCCTTAAGTCATTTCAGAACATTGACTGGAGGAATCTTTGTGACATTTTTCTGATAAAGCTAATTTTGGGAATTGGTGCTCTGCTTTACAGGAATCAGTACACCCTCTTTTTGAAAACCAGATTCAATGCTTCTCCCAGCACTATTGGGTACATGATATCCTACAGTGCAATAGCTAGTGCCTGTGCTGGGTTTATGATGGGACATATAGTAAAATGGTATAACAATGACACAAAACTGTTACACCATGCAACTGCAATGATGTTTATATCATTAATAATGACTGCTATTGTGCCTAATGTGTTCTGGATGGTAGTTATAGGGACTCCTTTGGCTCTTAGCACATCTATCTGTCGTGTCATTATAACTAACCTCATTATAGAGAAAGGACATGAGCATGACTCAGCTGCTTTACTAGGTATAGGTCAGAGTATAATGTCCATTGGGAGGATAGTAGCCCCTGTTTTAGCCGGGTTTTCTTCTGAATTCTCTGTTGTGGCGCCAAATTTAATATCAGCTTCTTGCAGCTTTATAGCCTTTCTAATGCTGGTAATTTTACAACGGTTAACACCAAAAGAAAGTAGAAAAATTGATTAATTAAAGAATAGCAGATACATTAAGAACCAAAGGTTATTAATTTAAACATGAAGTCATACAGCCCCTCAGTTTTAAAATTTTACAAGCACAGCATTAGTCTGTGTTTTAGTTTGTTTGAGGTCAGAGATTTGGTTTCAAAAATACCTGTAGATTGATATTGGTCTAAGATGAACCCTGTTGATTTTCATTAGGGTAAATTTTATTGCTATATATGTAAAAATTCTACCAATCCTCTTGGGAATCACACATGCTTATCATTTTATTTCTTTGGAAGTTTAGTTAATATTGGTTAGAACTATTGCATTATACTTGTGAGCAACTTTATTTCATTTTGAACCAAAATAAAATGCATAACAAATGTATGTGCTATAGTAAATACCACCGTTTTATAACTATGGAACTTAAAATGTAATACTGTATGAAATTACCTGTATTAATAATTGCATGATTGATTTTTATCTGGCGTTTTACCACTGCTTTGGCTTACTTTGTTTATGGTGATGGGAATCCTTGCAAAGTATGTATGAGTGAGCGCGGGCAGTACACATGGTTTTAGTCCCAACCTGCTGGTGACAGGCTACACTGCCACATCACCGTAACCACTCTCATAGACTACAAGGGCCTGTACGTGTGTCCCCATGTTTTGGAATTAGGCATACAATATCAACTTGATCAACCTAGATTTTGAATTCTGTGGAAGCATTTGCCTTGGTGTGACGCTCTTTGCAATGCAACTTTGTGAGAATTATTGAAAATTAAATGCGAAATATCTCCCAAACCCGGGGAATTATGGGAAGTTTCTATAGAGGTCTTAANTAAAAAATTGTTTTTCATTTATTTCCTGCATGTTAAAAAACAATACAGGTTAGACCTTTATACAGAAAAAAACGTATTTCCTGGGAATTTTAACACTTTCCTCTCAATTGGCAGCAGATGAATTCTCGGTCCTTTCAGAGAATTATGATCCATAAATTTGTTTCGAAGTGGTAGTAAACGAGTTATTCTCCTAATGGACTTTAGGTTTGTAGTAATACAGCAATTTCAGGGAGGGGGGAGGTCTTTTTCTAAAAAAAGTCAACATCTTGGTCATACATGGCATAGAACCTAGATCAACCTGAGTAAAAAGGAGTGCAGGAAGTAAAGGAGAGGGGTATGCAAAGGGCTTGTCAAAATAAATGCTTCTGCGACACGTGCGGTCTTTGAACGACCAAACCTGGATTTTACCTGTAAAACGGCCTGTGCGTCCACTGAGCAAACCCCCGTGCATCCCTGGGGCAACCTACAGCAGCCATTACGATGATTGTACCATCATCTGCGACCAATGGAGTGGTGGCAGTACTGCGATCTTTCTGCCTCATGCGAGAGCGTTGAGCGTTGAAGTGTTTGGATATATTTTGACTCATATTTATTCATCAGTTCTAACCCTGTGTGTGTTTTATGGGGAAGGTGGAGGAGGGGGAGGGGAGTCCAGGGAGTCCTCCTTTGTTATTTGGAGTATAAATTTTAATTCTATTGAATTTTTCCAAATAAATGTGTTGGAAAAAAGCGTCGTTTAAAATAAAAACGATTCTGGCAACCAGTGTCCTTTAAAAAAAAAATCCCGGTGTAACATGAAAAACTGACTCAACCAGTCAAAATTTCTTAAATCTTATTTTATTTGAATATATAACTTTTATCTTGTAGTATGCATAATGGAGGATACATTGGCACTTTTTGAAAATTTTCATGAGAAAATAAGAAAATTAAAAATGTGTATTTTTCCACCCAATGGCTCCTATGAAAAGGCTATGGGAGTCCAAATTCTACAGGTAGTAAAATGAATACTTGTTTCAAATATTATCAAGTTTCACCAAAATTTTCACCACCAAACTTTCAAATACTAAAAAATATATATCACAATGCAAACCATGTGGAAAACAATAGAATGGTGACTAAATATAAAGTAGGTCATTTTCTTCATGGGAGTCAAAATCCCATGGGTATGAATATGATTGTTTATGATTTATTTATTTATTTTTTTTTTTTTTCATTTTTTGCACCCAATATTTAACCATCAAACTTTCAAATATTTCCAATATATTCTTCATAAAGTATACTTAAGGGAAATTTGTTGAAATGGTCAACAAATATCAAATAAATAGCTTTTTCATGGAGGAGTCATTGGGTGGTAAAATACACATTAATTTTAATTTTTTTTTATTTGCTCTTTAAAATGTGTACTTGCAAACTAACAAAAGTGCCAATGTATCCTCCATTATGCATACTACAATATAAAAGTCATGTACTCATATAAAATAAGATTTATGAAGTTTGTGGAGGAGTCATAATTTCATGGGGGGGGGGATTCACATTTTAATTATGAAAATTTGACTGGGGAGTCACCTTTTGGGGTACTCAGATTTTAATGGTACACCGGCAACAAGAAACTAGTGGCGTTCTTCAAAAAAATCTAACGCTGAGAAACCAGAATCGTTTTTGTGGTGGGAAACGAGATTGGACGGAGGACGAGGCGATTATCGTCTATGTTCAGAAACTCAGATTTAAATTTGTTCTATTAATATTTTCCCACCTCAACAATTTTGTTAGTTCTCATATGAAAATGAAAGTAAATGGGTTATTTTGTATTGTGTAAAAAAAAAGTGTTGAAAATGGAAATAAACGCATTTCAGTAGTTATCTCTTGTTTACATTTTAGCATTTTCAGGGTGTGACTTTGAAGTTCCATGGACCTGAAGATCTTTCCTTGTCACATTTTCTAAAAATCCATATTAGTTGCAGTGCATAATTAAGATTGGTGGTGATTATGCTGTAAAGCATTATGTAATATTGCATCAAAATGGAAGAAACCCCATTTTGGGCATCGCTGCCATAGTGACTATTTTAGGAGAACCATGTCACTTACTATTCTCAAACTTACAGAAAAGAAACATTGGCCTAAAATACAGCTTCAGTCGGAAAATCAGTCTGACTGGTTTACTTTTTTGGAAGGTATACATTTTTTGTGAAATTTTAATTTTTCAAATATTAGCATTTTCATGATACGACATTGAACTTGCATGGGCTTGAAGACCTTTGCTAGTCTTATTTCTGAATATCCATGATACTTTTATTTTATTATTAAAAATTGATGATCAGTAAGGCGCATGCATGTAGCACTTGGCCGATTTTGATGGTTTACCTATTCACTTTCCATTTTTCAATTCTATCCTAATAATGGTTTATTTATTTTATCATTGCATTTTTACATTATGGTAGACAGGTGTAGTATTTTAAGATCGTTTTACATGGTTTATGGATTCATTTAATTAACAGATCAAAAATGCCAGCTGACCGTGAGCAGAGATCATGCCCGTACAGTTTGTACATAAAATGTATCATTGGTGTTATTCTCATAAATGACTATTACTTTAGTTTTATATATGCCATTTCGAATTGCATTATTATTGCCATTTCTGTGGTGCTGAAGATTTAGCACACACAAGCGCACGCACACGAACACACACGCACAATCGCACACTAAAACAACCTGCTACCGGTTGCAGCAGAGAAGACCATTTCTGCTCTCCTCCAGAGGGCGCTATAGAACGGTTTGGTTTGTCAAACCTGACAAAAACTGCTCACATTGCAGCATGCAGTACACGTAGACCATGTAAGGATAGCCAGTGACCTACATAATGTCATTTTACTTTAACTTAATCTGATGTATTTTGAAATAGATGGAAAAAACTCTTCCTGTGCATTACTATTTTAGTCATTGTTAATCAAATTTTGTCTGTTAACTTATGGTAATTGATAAATAGAAAGGGCGGTAACCTAGCTCTTCCTGCCTTCTACCCCGATGGATCATTTGAAACTTGAACCCTTAGAAGATTGGAAGAGATGTCACTTTTTCTTCTTCACTTCTGAGTGACCAGGGTATGGATGCGAGGTGGTCAGGATACTAAGTATATAGATTTCAGTTTTAACCGATTCAACGTTTTAAAACAATGGTTTTAGGTATTTGTCGAAGACTAAGACTCCGTTCACATGAAAAATCAATTTTCTAAAAATCTATTTTCTATTCGCGGTATCTTGTGATCACTCCGAGCGCAGCCGAGAATTAATTACAGCTTTGGAAGTAACTGGCTCGCGCTGCCAGTAATTACGCCGCGGGGTATCCAGGGCACACACCGTGATCACAAGATACCGCGAATAGAAAATAGATTTTTAGAAAATAGATTTTTCATGTGAACGAAGCCTAATCTTTGATGCATTTAAGAAAATGGGTTTGACGCTTGCATGTTCAACACTGGGTTTTGCCATCCACCAATATTTTCCCCACGTGATATTTTGTGTCCTCCACATGCCTTCTTTATTTTTCATCACGTACCTAATGACAGTGGAAATTGCAGTTGTGCCTCATGTTAACTACACAGAATTTAAACTACATCGGTAGAATTAGTTGTGACATTAATGTCAAGATGGGGAAAATTTTGTGGAATGGCTCTTAAAATTAATGTGGTTGTTGAAATTTAGTAAGCGGTTTTAATAAAACTGTGTGTCATAATTATAGTACAGCAAATTAGTCACAATTGAAAATTAAAGAACAGGATAAAGGTTTAAGGATATACTTCCCTTTCTAATTTTGGCATGTCCTTACAAATAATACCGTAAAATGTAATATTTTGATCCATTGAAGTGTGTTACATAGTTAATAGTTACACTGCTTTCTGCGTGACTGATTACGAAAGTTACCGTTTTCAATGCACAGGGGGGAAATTGCTATCACCAGTTTGCAAGTAAGTCTGCTTGGACGTAATTTTGATACTTCTCATTTATGGTTAATGTCTGTATCACTTGGTCTAATCAAAATGCTCTTTCCAAAGCAATCTACCATGATTTTTTTCACCTCCAAATTTTAAAGCCTTTTGTAAAAAAAAAAATAAAACGCAGCTTATTTTACACTGTGAAGGCATAAGTAACAAAACAGGTTTTATTTCACCAAAGAATAAAAGCCTTTGAACATGTTTTACTATAATTATAAGTCTGAGTTTGCCTGTAAAACTATTTGCGATATTCTTCAGCAAGGCAGCAAGGTGTGACTTTACGTTTATTTCATGCGGGAAACTTGTTTTTGTACTCAAGGACCACTCACAAATGAAGCTCAGTTTGGCTTCCTCAAAAGACAAAAAGGTACCTCGAAAGCTCTGTTCACGTAAGTTTTGCACATTTGGTGACTTATGTTATTTATACGCGTCCTTTAAAATGCTTTAAAGAGAAATAAATCATGCTGAAGCAGTCTCAATGTATTGATCTTACAAAAAATATATAATCAGTTTAATTCATTTTTATGTACAGACACATATGTGTCTGTACATATAGCCGTCACCTGCGTCTGTCGTCGTCGCCGTCGCCGTGCACTTTTACCGATAACACGATAAGTGGAAAACCATTTTTTCTTTTGGCTTGAAACTTACAGAGCTGATGAATATTCATAATATGCAGGACTATTTCGAAAATCAGCATGATCGGGCCATTTTTATGGAAGTTATGCTGTTTTTTTTTTCACTTTTTTCAGCATTTATGCAAGACCGATACCACGATAAATGAAAACCCGTTTTACCTTTTGGCTTAAAACTTACAGAACTGACGAATATTCATATTACGCAGGTCAAGTTCAAAATTCAGCTTGACCGGGCCATTTTCACATTTTTTTTTTTTTTTTTTTTTTTTTTTTTGCTTTTTTCTGCATATATGCAACACTGATAACGCATTTTAAGGAAAACTCATCAGCCTTTTGTCTTGCAACTCACATGAGTGATCAGTCTGAC